GGAATTTGGGAATAGCTGGAAAAGAGATTAGGAATGGAAGCTAGTATATCAGAGAGAAAATAAAGGACATGAGGCAGATTTGACTAAAGCAAGAGAAGCTTGGACTTCTGGCTAGGCAAGAAACTGGAAATGGAGCTGAGATAGTATGCTGAAACCAGATTAGTAACCAAGCAAAGAAAACTTGAAGTGGCAGATACAGAGCCATTACTGCAGGTCAGGGGCAGAAAAAGGACTTTCAGAGGAGAAACACTGGAGGAGGAGGTATGGGGTTGAATAGGTGAAGGAACTGGGCAAAAGCTGTTTCTAAAGTCCAGCTGGGACTTGAGGTCAAAGCTTGAAATAACACTAGAAATATGGATAGACTAGCTAGATACAATGTGAAGGACAAGCCTGAAAAGGCCAAAAGAAGGAAAGAGACATGGCTGGTATGAAAGCTGATTGGGAAGAATGGCAGCAGAAGGCAGGAAGATGGAGGAGATGTGGATAAGAGTCTGTAATGGTCCCAAGAAAGAAAGGTGTGATCACATAACTAAGCATGCTGTCACCACACATGTACATAGCTAGACCAACTGAAATTTGCCTTTGATATATCCCAATTTTTAAGTGTTTGACTCTTTGAGTTTTCAACTGTGTTTTTTAAATGTGATATTACAAACACACACACACACACTTATGTAGGAAGGACTTGGTGGAGGTTGTGAAAAAGTATATGTTGGTTTGGGCTGACATGTTTGTAAATGCAAACCATGTCTATAATTTGCATTTTCAAAGGAAGAAGTGGAATGACATAAAGTGGCAAAGTTGGAAGATAATGTGGTTTGGTGTGATTCGTCAGAAATTTATCTTTTCCTATGCTCTGCAAAAGGGCGAAACAGATTGAAGAAATGTAAAAAAATCTTCTAGTGTGGCAAGCAGGAAAGGTTTCTGAACGCAATGGTTAGACATAACTTTACGTCTGAATGAGAATGTACCTGGGTAAAATGCAGAATGGAGATATTTTGGAAGTGGAGGAGAAGACAAGCTATTACTAGTCTGTTTGCTACTTCTGCGTTTCTGTGTTTGCTGCATCTGATATGAAGCATGGCTAGTTTCAAGTCTTGAAATGCTGAGCATGACACAGACGCATCTTGTAACACTGCCTTGTGTAATCTGTGCTTGCTCTGCTTGAGCAACTGAGAAAAAGCAGAGGGTCAAGGAGTGTTCCTGCTTATCTCCAGATCAATTCTCTTGCTTGTTTGTATTTTGGATTAACTAGTTAGCTAGATGGGCTAGGAATTTAACTCATCACAGAGGATGAAATCATAGGGCAGCTTTTGCTTTTAAGTCAAATTCATCTATTCAGCGCAGAATGTTACAGGTCTGTAAAAAATGATAAAATAGATAAAATGCAAGCCCATCCCCCCTCCCTTTTCCTTCTGTCTCTTTTTCTCTTTGAAACTGGCTAAAATGAATGCCAGACTGTATCCTTTGACAAATGAATAGAGCTTCCTATGGGTCATTTCAGGAGTAGTTCTTAAGTTCTTATGGGAAAATTAGATTGCAAATGAGCAACAGTCCACATAGAATCTGGCATTTACATAAATTTTTATATTTTTTTCTTAATACTAGCATCTATCAAATGCAATGTGTTGTTTAAAAAAAGTGAAGAATTCGAGTCCAAAAGCATTTGTTTATGGGGAATCATTTTTCTTTCATTTGTCATAGTGTGCAGGTATTATTACTGAGTGAATGAGAACTGAAATTGGCAAGGGGAAATGGGTACCAAATACCCATTTCTTTTTGGTGAGATTTGAATACCGTAACCTCAACTTCAAATCTCAGTTCTCAGTTCTTAGATGTGCCCTTTTAGTCTATAAATGTTAAAAGATACCCTGAAGTTTTTTAGAATGATTTATTCATCTAGAGAGAGAGAGAGGATCTAGGAATAGCATAATAACATGAGTTCTGTTCAGATGTGTGTCCTGTCCTCCCCTCTACCCCTCAAATTCTCACTCAGGAGCATTGGGCTCTCTAAGCCCTAAATTCTTTCCTCCTTCAAGCCAAGCAGTCTCCACTCCACTTTTCCAGATGAGCATATAGGACTTCACATCCAGGCTTTTTTGCCGTCCATCAACTCATGACAGACAGTCTAGAAAGTAGTGTACCCTAAATGTCATGTAAATGTTAGTCTTAATCACTCAGCCAAATACAATATTGTGCTGCAGCTAAAAATGAATTAAGGACCTGCCACACACTTTTAAAAAATTCCCCAAAAAGGAAGGCTTGGGGAAAGTTCAAGGGCATAGAATAAGTAGAACATAGTCATAACAGGATTTGCCTTTTGTTAACTGAAAAAATGAGGAAGAGTCAACATCCGAAAGAAATTACACCTGTTTTGTAAATGTTATGGTAGAAGGGAATCCATTTATACTGTGTTAAAAGACCCACCTGCCTGTTCTCCCTAGAAAACATAGAAACAGAATAAACAAAAAAAACCCCACCCAACCCATTTTCATGGCACAATACAGGAAACTGAGAAGGTTCCACATCTCAAGGAGCTGTGAGAAAAGAAAAGAAATAGCAGGGAAGGCCATTTCCATTGTTTCACATTATCAGTAACTCTGTTTTTTTTACAAGAATTGGTCACAACCACCTTTCCTTTATTCTTACCCTTTGGCATTAAGGGAGTGATGAGAGCTACCACTGTAGCAATTAAAGCATTTTCTGCTTCTTAGTGGTCCTTACTGAACTTTGTAGACATCTGAGAAAGCTGTCCTATAAATTACAATATATTCTGAGCAACCCAATTATTGTCTGAAGGTGTGGCTCTTCTCTGTGTTACCAGTGCCCAGCTCCTGCTCCAAAAAGTGACAGCAGAAATGACACTGAGGGTCCTTTATCATGTCTCAGTCTTTTCCAGGTCCAGGCTCCTACTGACAGAATGCTGAATAAGGACTTTTTCTGCATTCCCAGCACATAGCTCCAACTGCTTGCTTTGGGTTGCATGTGTGACATGTTACCCTGAATGCGGGTTGTTAGTACTGTAGCACGCTGACTTTCACTTGTATTCCAGGCAAAGCTACTGGCCAATTGTGGTCTATTATTATGTTCTTATTTTATTTCCTCCTAGTGCATTGATAATTAGGTGACATTCAGCGTGTTTTGCTGACATTCAGTGTGTTTTGCTAACAGCTTTTACTAGCTCTGTGGGTATCACTATTATTTGCAAACTCTTTTGGGGGTGGGAGTCAACAGCATTGCTCTGATTATAATTTGAAGGTTTTTGAGGAAGTTATGTTCTTCTACAACGTTCAGTACAGATTGTAATATGTTATCCTGTTAGCTGTCTGAATTCACATTAAAAATATCTTTTTTTTAAAAAAAAATTTTATTTTTTATTGTAGGCCTTTAAACTAATGGCTAAACATGTCATCTTGCAATTAGTTTCTTGTAGGGAAAATGAGCGTTAACAAAGTCATTTCCTTTTGTAAGGAAAGTTGATACCCCTTTTATATTCCAGCAATTAGGCAATAAAAGATTCCTACATGTTACTTCCATTTGGAAAAAACAACCTGGTGATGATAGGGTACGTATTTGATGCAGTCATGCTTATGCATAAAAGATGTACACAAATTAAGTTCATTGGACCGTATTTGAACAAAAACAGTTACTTGGCCTGTTCCTCCACGCCTGTCCTGGCAAACCGCAGTCTAAAAGCTGGTGCTTTGCCACACTGCTTGCCTCCTCTTTCTGGTGTTCTCCTTGCTGTTTGCCATACACACCTAGGGCCAAATCCGTCTTTGAATCCTGATGGTTTCTTCTGTTTTCTTGCTTAATAATAGCACACTGAACCTTCTCTGCTTTTGCGTGAACATAAGGCCTTGCCAGGTGAATGATTACAGAGAGGTCTGTGAGTGCTATTAAATCACCAGCTTATCAGGAAGCTTTTAATCTACCACTGATATCATGGGCAGTTGTGAGAGGTTTTGCCTATCAATTTGTGGTGTTTCAGGAGCTCATATGGAAAAGTATTTTAGACCTTCCAAATGTTTGGGTTGACTTCCCATGTTATGTTAAGAATTTTAACACTTTTGATTTCTCTGGTATAGGTTCTACTCAGTGACCATAATCTTGAGCCAGGCCTTCCTATCTCATGTTTTAATCCCAGCCCTGCAGTATGGTAACCATCTTTGTCCTCACTAGGGTTGTGTGCTTATCTTATTCAAAACCCTACTTACCTCTCATTCGCTTGTGCTTGGCTTCTGGCTGGTCATGGGCCACAATACTTGACTCTACTTGTAGATGTGGACTCTTTGTGCGTTATGGCATGGTGGAGCTGTCAGCATTTGCCTGTCCTATGCTTGTTCCATTACATCAGTCACAAAGTTGTGCAATATATGAGAAGACAGAGAAATATCAAAGAAAAAATCTCTTTGGAGCTCCTCTTGGGTGTCTCATCTAGACACCAAAACAATCTACAGAGAACAACAGTCAGTAACTGCTGTCAGGGAAGCAGAACAGGGAGTTGCCCTTGTTCCTTCTGCTAAAAAAAGCAAGAACTACATCCATGTCTCTTGCATGTGTAATATGCTGCTTTATTCTTTGGTTGCTGACCTGCACAGCAGTAGATCCATCTGCCCTTTCTTTGCTCCCTTGTATCCATTTAGCAATTATTTCTTGGTGTGCAGAAATGGCATGGCAATCACATTTGGAAGATGTCATACAGCTGGATTCTGCGTATGACATAGCACATTAGCTATGCTTTCTCCCAAGCCTATTTTTCTTCAGATTATAATTTGCTTTTCTGCCCTTGACTCCTAATCCTTCTGCTGCATAAAAGCCTTGACAGGACTTGTATGTTTTGGTGTAGGAGCTAGGAGGATGTTATCTGATTGGCAAAATAAGCTGTAGTAATGGAGAAGAGTATCTCACTGCAGGATCATCATCACCTAACACCTTTACCATACACAGCAGTCATTAGTACATGATATGATTAAGGTTTATGAATCTCTCTCCTATAGGACCCTTGCGGACCCACCAATATTTCATGTGAAGTTTGGTGTGAGAGGCTGTGAAAACAACAGCAGAACTTTCTTTGCACTTTGAAGAGAGCCCAGTTTGCCTGTGAAGTTCAACTCAAGGTACTGCATTTATTTTAGAGGCCTGTTTCTGATGGCACAAGCACATGTCATGAGTCCAAACATCATCTGTAATAACCTATTAGGAACTGATATCTAGATGAAAATTTCAAAGTTTCCAAAACAGAAGGGTCTTGCTTACTTAATACATTTACTAACTTACTTGCTAAGTTACTTAATACATTTCTAACACAGAAGGACATTTGTTACGTGTGAGTATTTGGCAATAACTTCATAACCACTTTTTCCTGAACCCCTCTGAAGTTAGGAGTTGCTTTCTGAGACTCAGGCTAAATTACTTATGAACATACAAACAGTTATTTTGTTAACGCCTTGGATATTAATGTGAATGATACCATGGCCCTAAGCAAATTTCTTTTCAGGTTTTAAACTTGCGAAGGAACAATAAGACCAATGATTTTTAAAAAGGATATTTATTGTAATTCTTGTGTTGTGTCTTTGCAGAGCTTGCTATTTTTACCAGCTGAAACCCAGGGAAATTCTCAAAAGCAGTTTAGAATAATAAACTTGTCTTAAGTCAAGAACAGATCCCATCAACCTATTGGCTCCCATTTATGTTTTGAAAGGAGCAATGCTGTACCAGCAGCCATTCTTCTTGTACAAGTTTCCCATGGATTTTTGCTATGGGCAATCTATAAGCATCAACCAGATCTTAAACAGTGACATTATTGCAATTAGCAGCTTCGGAAAGAGTCCTGCAGAACAACATTTACATGCTCTACACCTTGTATGGCAGGTTAACATAAAATCTTGATGTCTTAAAACTAGCTATTTTTCCTCACTCCAGCAGAAGTCACTAAGAAAGGGGAGAGAAGGTAAAAAGCAAACAAACAAAACTTTAAAGTCAGGGTTTCAAACAGTGGGTGTTTTTTTTGTTTGTTTTTATTTTCTTCCAAGGAGTGAAAAGTTCTGTAAGAATTTGGGTAATGTACATACATGGTTTCTTGACTTTATATTGAGCATTTATACAGGATAGAAATCAAAATACACAGCATCTGTGTGAAGAATGTATGCCTGCTCTAGGAACCTTTGACACGGGAAGAACCTGCAGCAGTGTGTGACCAGACAATGTGGTACCTGTGGGCTTGCCTTGCAGTCTGTGCTTCCCTGCCAGACTGTGCTTAGCTGCTGCTGTAGTGCTCCTCGGACTATGCCTGGAGCATAACAGCTTTACCAAGAACTAGTCTGACAGTAAACATTTGGATGTATAGGTGCCACATCCCTGAGGGCCATTAAGCAGCTTAATAAAAATGATTTATGTACAGAAAAGTAAGCAAAATCTAAAAGTGTGAGCTTAAAGGATAGTCTTCCTAGAAGGGTTGTTGTGGGTCTGTGCAGGAAGACCTGCTTGGACCTGAAACACTACAGCCACATTACTGGATCTAACCTGTCATCTGCTAGCTTGTTGCATCCCTGTCAGCAGCAGGGATCAGCGCATGACAACTACAGGAACCTCAGTAACATACCATCCAGAAAGTGGGATGTCAGCTATACTACCAAAAGACCTGCCTCCACCCTCCTCCAACCTGGACCAAATGGCCCATCACAGGCGACTCACTGTTTCATTCTAGTGTAGCGCTCTGAAGCATGGTATTCAAAATGGCTTTCAGTTTTTACTTCGCATCAGTGGTGTTATGTCAACCTTCATCAAGCCAACCTTACTCTGGGCTGCACCAGAATCAGCATGGCCAGCAGGGCGAGGGAGGTGATTGTCCCCCTCTGCTCTGCTCTCGCGAGACCCCATCTGGAGCGCTGCGTTCAGCTCTGGGGCCCCCAGCACAAGAAGGACGTGGAGCTGTTGGAGCGAGTCTAGAGGAGGTCTACAAGGATGATTAGAGGGCTGGAGCACCTCTCCTGTGAAGAGAGGCTGAAGGAATTGGGGTTGTTCAGCCTGGAGAAGAGAAGGCTCCAGGGAGACCTTACAGTGGCCTTCTAGTGCTTAAAGGGGGTGGGGGGCGGCTACAGGAAAGACAGGGAGGGACTCTGTCAGAGAGTGTAGTGACAGGACAAGGGGTAATGGCTTTAAACTAAAAGAGGGAAGAGTTAGATTAGGTATGAGGAAGAAATTTTTTCTTATGAGGGCAGAGAAATACTGGCACATGTTGCCCGGAGAAGCTGTGGATGCCCCATCCCTGGAGGTGTTCACAGCCAGGTTGGATGGGGTTTTGGGCAGCCTGGGCTGGTGTCCCTGCCATGGCAGGGGGTTGGAATTCGATATCTTTGAAGTCCCTTCCAACCCAAACCATTCTGTGATTCTGTGATTCAGACACAGAAAGATAGTTGTTAAGTACTAGAGATGCAGACTCAGCCCAGACTTAGAGGCAGGTGGAATCTCTTTGGTTTAATCTGCACCATTACTGGGGCTCCAGGCTGAGTTGTGTTGTCATAGGCAGGTGTCAACTGCTTTTAACTTTGTCAGGTTGCAAACAGGTTGAAGGTATCTGGATTAGGGGGTTACTACCAGAGTGATATATGGAGAGGAAAGAACCAAAGAAAAATGTGCATGTGCACATGGCAAATGTGATCCTTCAAATCCATAAAATTACACAGCAAAAGCCGTTTTTCAGCACAGACCATGCCCATTCCCATTGTTCATTCTGGGAGCAGGCCAGGTGTGGCGACCAGAACCGGCTGCTTAGATTCGCTTCCAGAGCTGTGGTCAATCCTCTGGATCCATTTAAAGGCAACAGCAATACCCATGTATTTGAACAGAATATTTAGATTAAGTCCCAAATGAGCTCAGCCAAGTCAATTAGCATCTTTGCTATGTCTCATCTGTATTTGGTTCAATAATACTTTTTATACATGGCATCTGGGAGTGATGATTAATGATCAGAATGTGTTTTTGAAATTCTTGAATGAAAGCGGCTACACCAGTACAATGTCTAAATACTTTAATGAGTTTGTCATTTTTACTCTCGGTGCCAGTTTTTTGTACATTGTAAACTCTTCAGCACAGCTTGAAACTCCAATCCCATTAAATTTTATTGAGCAACTTAATAAAAATGAGTTAAGTTCCAAAAGGAAAACAAAACCTAAAGCATGAGCGCAAAGAATAGTTTTGTGAGCTTTGTTGTGGCTCCATGCAAGGATGCCTGGGTGCATATGGAGCCCTCCTTACTCCACTGGTGTAGGCAACCCCTTCTCAACACGTGTTAGTCACAAAGAACTAACTACAGGAGATGTTCTTATTTCTTGTGGGGCTTGTATTATAGCAGTGGACAGTGTATGCTTGCACAGGTAAACCTGCGTTATAAAGCACTCCATGTGTCCCAAACCTGACTTGCTAAGAGAGAAATCAATGGTGAAGATGTTGAATGACTTTCTGGCTTCACCATTGAGGTTACCAGAGGAATTGTCAGCATTCCCAATACGATAATGGCTTTTGCCACAGGAGTGTTTTGTGACTGGAATTGGTGTGAGGCTACGGAGTCCACATGAAGTGGCAGTGGCAGTATACTGAGCAGTGGCAGTATACTGAGCTTTCACTAGGCCAGTTTGGCAGCTTTGGGGCCAGAAACATGTCTTTGTCTGACATACAGACAAAGAGAAATAATGCTCCCATGTCTGTGCAATGTTTACCTTTAGGAAGAGTCCGTACATCCTTAGATGATTTTGAAATAATGCTGAGCAAGTAACCAAAAGGCATTTCATACGTATGAGCCTTTCCTAATCAGATTTCACCTGTTTTTCCTATTTAAACACTGCTGTATTCTCATTGTTGCTTTTCCTAATCTGTGAGGTCTCAGAACTAACTTGCTTCTTTGCTCTTAGTGCTATCCCTTGATAGTTTGAGAGAGGCAGAAAAAGCTAAAAATAGTGAACCTATCCTCAGTCCCCTAGGAACATATTTTAATAAACCCAGGCAACAACTAGGAAGGTTTGAAAAGGAAAGTAAGACATACCTCTCTGAATCTGAACAAACTTTAGGAAAGCACGGCTTAAGAAATAAACGTTGTTTAAGCTTTTATTTTATATAAGTCAATTTGCCTATCCAATGTAAAACATATGTCATAATCCATTCAGGTAATAGGAACAAGATAAAATCTCTCTCTGTGATCTTACTGCATTCTCTGCACCTAGATGTGACCCTGGCAAATGATCAGAGACTTGCTTTACATTTTGTTGATCAGCAATATGTATCAGTAAGGCTGCCTGGAAGCTGCTGTTTTTCCATCTTGCATTTCTACACACAGTCAGAGTTATCTGGACCATGGGGTATCCACTGAACAAAAAAGAAACTATTTTATACGTAGCATTTATAGGTAGGAAAGAAGGAATACACTGAGACTAAGATTCTCCAGATACTTGTGATTTTGGGTGCTGTACTCTTATGCTGAGTAGTACGATAATGCTAAGGAGGGTGGGGGATTAGAAACCAGACAGACGATTTTAGGGCAGTATGCACTACTTCAGGTTGGATGCTCAGAGCAGTAACACCATCTGCCTTCAGTGTCTAGCTTAAGGGCTGTGTCCATTGGAAGTTAGGTGCCTACAACATGGAAAAAATTGACTGTCAGTTGCCGATCACTTTTGAAAACCCTGTCTCATGGTTCTTGGTTGTTGTGTCAAAGGTAAGGAAGGACCTTTGCTTTGCGGCCCCTTGTATCTGCTGTGCCAACAACATTACAAGGATTTTCTGGCTGTCTTGGGTGGCATTTTATTAGCAAATGAGTGAATTCTCTTCTCGTAAATTTAACACAGTTTTTGTTGTTAGAGGTAAAAGCCTCATTACAAAGTCATGGCTAACTACATCCATGTCACTTCTGGGGACTATGGATTTTTTTTCCATTATGCAGTGCACATCAAAAAGCAAACCAACAACAAAAAACAACCCACAAACGAACCACCCCTCAAGCTCTCTCTCGTAATGATTCACCATGAGTAAGTACAGTGAGTGAGAGCACATCTTTCAGGCCTTCCCTAAGAAAACTGGCTGCCATATAACTCAGGGCAAAACTGGATCGTGGCTTACCTGTCAGGGAAACGTAAGACATCATATGCTTCAGTGAAGGATTGGAAAGTTCCCCCTCCCTATGTGCTCCTATGTGAGGAGCTCATGTAACCAGACATCATGCCAAACCCTGGGTTCTGACTGTACCAAAGTAGCAAGCAAAAGGCTTTCGGAGTACAGGCATTGTATTCAAAGCCATAGTACAGGCATTGTATTCAAAGCCATAAAACACAACCAAACTCAAAACTAAACCAAAAACTCCTGACTTCTATCACAGTATTCTAAGGACATTTTTCAAGAGGACTGCCAACACAGAGAACTGGAGCACATATAAAAATCCCAAGTCACTATATTTTAGTCAAGGCTGAAGGGAACTTTGATATTTGCCCTTGACCCTATCATTGATTCTTCTCACTAACTTCAGCTACATACTGTTTTTTTTCACCTGGTTTCTTATCTGTTAAATGAGAAGGATACTTTCAACAGGGGTCTTAGAGTTTTTTTGAGGATAAAATATATGTTCCAAGCATTGCATATTTATAATGAAATTGAATCACAGAATGGCCTTAAAATACTTTTGACTGCATAGGAATAGCTAAGAGTTTCCACTAGGAGAGTATTCCCTGGGTCATGGTTCTTGTTTCGATCACGTTCCATATGGAGAACTCATCATCAGGTATTCACCAGTGCCATAATTTACTGGAGCAATTGTAGCAGGCTGGTACGCTCGGTGTTTGGTCAGACAGCTCATCTAGGACTATGTATAGTAAGTAATACATGCAGTATTTTCTATAGTCTAGGTTGATATGAAAGACACGTGCTTAGTGGGCTTTTCAAAGTGAGGCAGCCACATGAGTTGCTCAGAAACAGCAGCATGTACGTGCTTACATCTTCAGAAAAGGCCTGGGGCAGAAAAAGCAGGGCTGTAGCCTACGTTTCCAAGAATTCTTAATGTCAAGTGAAGTCTGGAGCTAGAAAAATATTTTAATACCAGCCAGTCTGTTATATGCAGAAAGCATATAACTGTTTTACAGGGCATTAAATATTTTTGCCATATTTGTAGTCATTTTCTCTTGTTTGTGCCAATTCAAATATATACTTCGTTTTCTAATCTTTGTTATTTACTCCTGCCTACAATCCTGTTCTTAGCTTTCTTTCCTGCAGCCTGCAGTTCTCAAAGGCATCTCCTTTTTGCTTATTTTTCCTCTTGATATTTCACTGATTTGTTTTCCATAACATCTAGATCCTTTTCAAGTTACTGGTTTCATCTGGTCTTTCTTCTTGATCTCTTTCTTTCTGGTCTGTAGTCACTTTTCATCACATTCATTCATTATGTTTATTCTTATCAATTTTGTTTTCTATTTTTGCCTTGTGGAATCAGTATTTATGCCATAACCTCTTTCATTTAGTATTTTCCTACTCTGTCTAAGGAAAGTACAGTTATGAGATAAAAGGGCACTCCGGTCTCATACATTCCTTTCCCAAGAGACCAGGATTGTTCCCATCAGCGTAGGATCTGTTTTGTGCCTTGCTGAGGTCAATTATATACCAAAATTTCAAGCCCAGTTTTCAGTCACCGAAGCAGAAGGAACAAATCTCATTTCAAGCATTTTTTGTAACGATCTAAGAATTAGCTTGATTCAGTCATCACAGATAACTAGTTGGTTAGTCATTGATTGAGGTGAGGAAAGGGAAGTGAAGGGAAACAAGGGGTGGTCTAGAGGAATAATAGCCAGGAAAGCTGTTACCAAATATTCGTTATTTCCCTGGTGTCCATGTGGACACTGATGTTGTAATTTTGTTAAGTTTTTGATGGAAACTAGTTTTGGTACTCTGAAGGGACTGAAGCTGAGGTGTAAGCTGATTTTTATTTTAACCTACGGAAGTGAACAGCTTTGTGTCCCAAATCTTGTCTCAGAAGAGTCAAAATATTCAGATTCTTATTAATTCACCAAACTTCATTTCTACATGTATACTGAAACAACTGTACCTGAGCCCACTGGCTAAGTTTTGTTTTTTGAGCGCACAAACTTGACACATGCAAACCAAAAGCTCAACATTAAAATTTTGAACCCTCTTGGCTTTCCAGCCTTTCTCTTAGCCTTTTGTCCTCGTGAAGATGATCAGGACTCGCTCTTCAAAGCTGTGCTGAGGTCAGGTGCATCAGCAGACTCAGCGTCTCCAATCTCAGGCAATTTAAACATCAGCCCTCTTACTGTAGGGTCTAGACATGCGAGCCCAGCCATCACCTCTTGTTGAGTGATGTAAGACTGTAAGGGCAGAAAGCAGAGAGCTGGTCCCAGCCCCTGGGACAGATGGGAAGGGAACAGAGTGGGAGAGGGAACTCTGCCATACACAGAAATAGCAAGCCAGGCCGTACTGCCACTATCGCAATTGTTTTTGCTCAGTACTGGACTATCTAACCATAGGGTAACGGTTGCAGGGGAGAGTTAGTGTGAAATATAAACCTCATGGAGCTCTTACACAACATGCTTGACAAGACTTGCTGTTGCCTTCAGGGGGCAGTGGCGACCAACCCCAGGCCGCTCGGTCCCTCGGCTCACAGACACCAATGTGGTGGATGGCAAACGGCGTTTATTGTCGAGTCACATGGCGTCATGTACCCGAGGCCCATAGCGTCACTCCCGCTCGCTGACATCACAGACCACACGCTACTGTCCATCAAGGGAGGGGCTCCACCTTTCCGTGCTGCGCCACATCGTCCGGCCGACAGACCCTAACTACCCACAGCTTGCCTGATAACTTCCAAAGTACAGACATACAGCAGTGCCTTTGTGACACAGGGAAAAAGCTGTATATGAAAATCCTGTCTCTCCCTTAAATAATAACATTAAAAAGGAATCTGGAGCATTAGAGAAGAGCTCAGCCGGGACTGGCAAACACAGCATCCCACAGGTGAGGCTCTGACTGGGAGCCAGAACACACCTGCAGCTCCTTCTCTATGAAGGCACGCAGAAGCCCCAGCATGACTACTCCAGTTGAAGCTTCAGGCAGCCCTGTGAATATTATGCTGATAACAAAAAACTTAGTAATTAAGTACTCCTTAAGCATGTTTATACAGAAATAGCTACATTGCTGGATGTGTCCCTTCAGGTTCTCTGTACAGCAGATGTACTTCTGAAAATAGAGAATCTGGGGTGATGTACAGTGGCTGGGTGTCATTTGAAGCATTCCAGCTGGATGAGAAGATGAAAAAAACCTCTGGAATCTGAATAGTAAATCATACAGTACGGCAATAACATCTAGCACAAGTTAAACTTCGGAGACAGTTTTCAGAAGACTGTTGTAATTGCAGCCTTGTTGAATAGAGGTTTATTTACAGTGTATTTGAGCAATGAGAGGTTTATTAGTAACCCCCATTTATATTTTGGTTGGTGGCATTTGGGGTTATTTTTAGATGTGAGCACCTAGACATATATTAGTGATGTATGTGTAGCATGCATTTTTAATGTCTGACATTGCCTTTTAAAATATTTTTCCATGCTTCTAAGGCATTAATTAATGTTCTGTTTGAGGGAAAATTTGGAAAGAGAATAGTTTTTCCCTTTCTTATAGGCTAAAAGTCCACAGCCAAAACTGTGATAGGCTTTTTAATTTTGTCATAGAAGAAGCAAAATATAACAGCTGAGATTTTGTTAAGAACAAAACACAGCTGCCAAAATCCAGTTCTAATAAGCTTAGTATCGGTTAGCTAACTTGAGATATAACTGCACTTACCAAGTGTATGTAATTTAGAACTGCTAACAAGCCCTCCCCCTAACCCCATCACCCCGCCCCCCCCCGCCAAATACATATTCTGAAATCTATACAGATGCCCAATTCCAGTAATGATGACTGAACATACACTTCCTTTGTGTACATCACTATTATCCAGTTGTAACAAATCATCTGACTTTATTCCTTGTGGTTCTGGCTATCTGAAAACATGAAATGATGTTCAAAGAATTCAGAATGACAGATTCCCCCTCCATTCCACATGGCCTAGGAAACTGATTTATTGTCAGCAGTATTACAAGAAGTGGGAAGGAAATTTTATTAGAGGTGTATAAGGCAGAAAATACATGAAAAGGGCAAACATCTGTGTTTAAAAAGAATAAAAAATCCAATGTACCTCTTTCTTTGTGCGGTCGTTCTCAGTAATACATGAAACATTTTCAGATCTGTAATGGTTGGAGTTTTATTGGCAGCACTGCAAATGCACATACAAGGGTGCACTCGTAAAATGTCAGTGTCTTTTCTGGGAAATAGCCTACATCTGCAGTTATTTTAAAGAGTGCTGACAGAAGAAGGTTGTTGCTTAAAGCTTCATCTATAATGTGGAAGTGCCAGATACAGAAATAAACGCAACAGTAGACAGAATCCTCTAATTGATGATGATCCTTCTCTGTTGTTCAATTCAGGGAGAGATGAACATATTCACAACTTTAAGATGAACCCTGGATTAGATGTTGTGGAAAGGAAAAAAACATAGTTGGCTCTGTGGCAAGACTAGGGAGAGCTTAAGCTTTAAGATGTTAATAGACATAAAAGATAAAAATTCATAAGTAAAAGGATCCTGATACATCTGTTTCTGATTTTAGGCATGCATAGAAGCTGTCTGATCAAACATTTCCTAGAATATGTGTTTTCTAAAGGATAACCTATGACTGTTCTTGTGTTGACAGAGGTGCTGCTCTTGAGAGGTGCTGAATGGCCCTTGGACTTGAAGAATATCCTGAATTTCCTCCATCTTCAGTAACAGAAGAAAATACTCAGCACCAGGTAGGAACTAAAGGAGATCTGATTCATGTGCAAAAAATGAGTAAATCTTTAGAGAACTGTCAGAGGAGCTTGCATTCCAAAGTCTTGCAAGTCATTACAAATGCAAAATGAGGTTTCATTGTTCTTTAGGTGAAAAATCTTAGCTATATGCCTGTCATGAAGCCCTGAGTTAAAAATACCTTATGGTAGTCCGGTTGCATCCATATTAGATTACTCTCTTGGCTTTGCATGTCTTCCTGCTGATGGCAATTGCTTCTTTAAATCCCCTTATATCTAATTTAATAGCCTGTGTTATCTGAAGTGCAATGATCAGGATATGGAGAAGTAGTCTTTCTAAATTTTATCCTTTGGACTTTTTATCCCATGTATGTGATGCGGCTGGTGTCACTGCTATCATTTATAACAGCTAAGGCTTATTTCTCCAGATATTGGAACACCTCCAGCGGGGAAGCTTGCTGCATAACTAATCCTATTCCTAGTAAAGGATGTGGACTTGCACCAACATAAATACTAATAAAAGTTCTCTCAAATAAGGGCATCTGACAGACAACAAATATTTCTTTTGTTTGTGGAAGGAAATAAAGCTCAAGAGGGTGTTAGGATTTCTGAATCTAGGTTTGACTGTGTGCCTTCAAGAATAATCTCTCATGAAATATGAATTGGGCATCCGGCATAAAGAACTGCATCAGACTTCAGGATCCTGCTAGGCTCCTAGGATCCTGCACAGAGCTGGCTGTTAGTAAATGATGAAACATGTTTAGGTGTCAATGAAAAGCCTTTGGTTGTGGCCTAGCTCTAAAGCAGTTGATTCACCAGTAGTTCTGCAGTGTATCATTCCTGTGGGAATTAAGTTGCTGAGATCCCAAGGCAGAAATGGATTTTGAAAGAGCAATTACATATGGTTGAAACCATAGCACTGTAGCTAGTTAGCCAGATGAAAAAAACAGCAATCAACACGAGGGAGAAATAAATGCATGAGCTAAATACCTAGCAAGTGGAAAATATTGTTGTTTGAATTATTAATCTACGTGTGTCAGAGAGAAGTGGTAGTGTGGTGCCTCTTCGTAGAGAGTAGGAACTGGGCACAGAGGTCTCAGATGGTCTTGACTGACCCCTTACATTTTGCAAGGCAAGCTGGAAGTCCATGTGTCATGTCAGCTCTTGCAATGAGGTGAGAGGCAGAGCTAAGGAGGAGAGGACACAGCAGAAGCTGAACAATGGTGTATCAAAAGCTGAAGTCAGGCACAGAGGGAACACAGCAAGCAGTTGTCTGGCACTGAGAGAAGTCAGTGTTGGTTTTCTTTTTCTGCCTGCCAGCTTGAACACCAAATGTCCGACAGTGAACGTACAGGTTGTTGTCTACAGCCACTCCCACGTTCCTGCCCGAATGTGTGAGTAAATAAATGCTAAGTAAGGACAAATGACTAAGACCTGAACGCGAACTAGCAGTTCTTCGGTTAGTGATTCTTTGGAAAGTAGCTGATACTTTGCCTCTCAACAGTAGAGACAGTGGAGGAAATGATGTTGTATGTCCTGCAGTCTGGCCTCTCTCCATATTCCTTCCAAACAGTCTGTGAGAACAAAAGGCCAGGCCTGTAAATAGAAAAGAAAAGCTGCTTGTACATATCATCACTTCTTGATAAAAATAGACAAAGCCTGTTCTCACTTCATTCCTGGCATGAAAGGCTTACGGGTGTTTTCCATATGACAGCATTTATAGTGTATGCACATTGAAAACTTAGCACCTGGTTTTTGAAAAGTAGGTAGCAAGAAACAAGTTTGCTCATCTGTGACCATACTAAGTCAAGACACTTGACAGTCTCCAGTGAGATGCTTGGGAGCTGTGTAACAGAAACCTTCCTTTGAGTTCTTGAGGGAATTCAAAACCGTGCTGATAGTACCGAATTGTATTGCTTCCTATGGGTTGGCACATCTTCCTAAGATGTCACTGTCTCTGGGGACTTTCCCCATGTTTTCCAGGCAAACTCCTTCATGCACTATGTGCTGTCCTCAGATGTTCTGAAGGGTTTCCCAGGCAGGCATTCTTGAAACTGAACTGGGATTACAGAATAGCTTATTTGAGAGCCCAGCTCCAGTCTAAAACAAATTCAGTTTTGTCCTTGATGCTTCTAATTTTAACTTTTACACTCAAGTGGTATAAATTATTTTACCAGAGTCTACCAGCTGAGCCTGTCGCCATGTACCTTTCTGGCACCTAATAAAATAAAATAAAAAGGTAATAAGGAGTCATCACAGGATAGCAGGAAACTGTTTCTTAGAGCAAAGTGTGCAGGTGTGGGAGTGCAGCATACCTGTGACGGCCAGCCAGCCACAGATACTAGCTGGTGAGGAGCATGTCCTTGGCATTGCATCAAGGCTGCTGTTTTATATGTAATGGTAGCTGTGACCAGCACTACAGCTCTGACCAGCTTGCAAGTTGCAGAGCAAAAGCAGTGAGTTAGGTGTCTGTCAGTAAGGTGAATCAATTCACCTGTTTGGTTAAAAGAGAAGGTGGGTCAGTGCAGCTCAGGGCTGGGGACTGTGCACTAGGATGTGCCTAACCTTTACGTGGCTGAATGAGAAGGGAGAAATGGTTATTGACATGTTTACACCTGATCACATCACAGGGCAAAATGCAGGACAGGCCTCTTGTCCACCTTCTCCCCACGCTCCTCAAAGGCCTGGCCTGACCTGACCTTGTCTCTGTTTGAGATGTGACTGGAGGGGAACCAAGGAGCCCTGAAGCTCTGGCGTTCTGCTGTCCTGGTCGTGCTGTGGGGCTGGCGGGGATGTAAACAAGGGTGGGGAAGGGGAGAGCTTCCGCCAGCCGCTGATCTACTCTCAGGAAGGCGGGAAGCCTGAGAGCCGAAAACATTACAGCATTGTCTTTTGGAATTGACTGAACATGTGCAAAATCACTGTCCTAATGATAAACATTGTAATAAACATTGGCAGGACATGAATGCAGCTTCTGCAAAGGCTTCTTCTTCTTTCTTCTTCTTCTTCTTTTAATTTTTTTTTTTTTTTAATAATTATAAAAGCAGCTCAAATCACATTTTTCTTTATCACATCTTTAAAGTTTGTTATCCCATGCCCCTCTAGATTGCCATATGGTAAAAGCAATGGCTCTTAGAAGTGTTTTTTTGTAGAACTGTAGTAGACATGAATACCAAACAACTTCACAAAACCACTAAATACTTGGCAAGCTTCTAGTCTACTGTAATTTTGAAAAAATGCTCAAGACAAATGTTTATGTTGAAGGGGGAAACATCCCCAGGATAGAGCTATCAATTAATGGATGATTTCAGCTTTCCTATAGGACCCTGTTCTATAAGCCATACATCATAACCAGTGAATACTGTTCACTGTAATTAAACTTTTCTAAACCTTCAAAAGCATTTGAATTGAGTGGATGCTGCCCTGGCTCTTCTGGCATGTTTCATACAGGACGTCTGGCCAATTCTCCAGTCTTCTCTCAGATATGTTACTGATCCAAAATATTTTCACCAGACACCCTGAAATGGAATCACAAGTTTGCCAATTTCCATTTCATGTATCTTCCTTACAAAACTGAAAATTACAGCTCATGAGCACTGGTGATTTGATTGCTCAATTTCCAAACTTAACTCACTAGAACAAAATAACAACAAAGATTTAGATGATGATGTCTGGCCTTTATGAGACAAAATTGCTTACCAAAAAAATTATGTTATTTCCAACTCAGAAGTTAGGCCTGGGGGGGATTGGTGCTCTTAAACCACTGATGAAGTACAGATCAACAATTACCAGTAGGGCTTCATCAGAAGAGTTATTGCATTGTTACATTGACATTTCATTGAACCTGCCCAGGTTTCCAATACAAAAAAACAACTCTCAGTGCCTTTACACTGGGTAATTTTCAATTTTCTCAATACTCTGAGCTCCAAGTCAGCACTTTTTTGAGAAACATATATGTCAGGAGGAAAGTTCTCAACAAAGGTCTCATATTCTGATTTCCTTGGACTTTACAGCAAAATTTCAAATGCTGCTGAAACTGCCAAAAGAGAAAAATGTGTGTTATAGTATTACAGATGATAACATAGTCCAGTCTGTTTTTTTTCTTCGAACTAGTGCTGTGAGAGCTTAAGCAATGTTATTTCACTAGGCCAGGAAGTCTAGGCAGAACTTCATTAAAGTACAGCCGACCAACCTGTTACATGAACCGGGTTCTGCAAGGGGATATTTGGGACTTTGGCAGTGTAGTGGTCTTACAAGTTGGTTTGCTGTTCCTTAAAGCTGTAGGCAGTGGCTTGAACATCTCTTGTCCACCACAGAGCTGTAATCTTACCTGGATGCCAGCTAGCTAAATCATATGTGTGGTCTTTATATCTGAAAGGTCTGCTCAGGGTCAAGTTACAGGTCACATTCATTCATTCACTACCGCAGCCCATGATTCCTGAGGAGTTTGTCATTGCTGGTACCAAGCTGGCTGGGGCTGTGTGTTCTCCTCCATGCAGAAAGTGCTCTGGATGGAAGGCATGTGGAAAATGGAAGGGACTTGTGGCTCTGAATAGCAAGCATTATGTAGTGAATGTTGTACTTGAAAGGGAATGACATGATGGCTAGTGAGGGGCTCTAAACCAATAAGGCATCATCCAGAATTTTAAAGTGTTGTTATCTTTTGTAATACTGTATATCAGTTTATAAATATCATCAGATATTTATGAGGTTAAAGTAACTGCTTATGGACAGGTTGTAAAAGTGAGGGAACCCTGAAGGGCTCCAGGAGCAGGTTTAGGTGGTGGGAACATGGTATTTTTCTTTGTGTTTGGGTACAGTCTACGTTAGTATAGCAGCCTCTTCATTTTGTTCAGTGTAAAATAGGAGAAGATTGTGTTGCTTCTGGCTATATCGTCCCAGCAAATGCTCTGTGTTCGATAAAGAGCTTCACTCCTGAAGACTATCAGATCAGCATGTTTCACTGAGAAAAAAAAAAAAAAAAAGGAAAAAAAAAAAGAAAA